TCAACAAAATTCTGTTGAATGAAAAAAATGACGCTGGGGGTGTAGAGCACTTGCCGAGCATGAGTGAGGCCCTGGGTTTGATCCAAGGCATTACAAAAAAAAATAATAATAATGTTTACTATATTTAGTCCCTAGTGGGTCTTGGGTCTCTCCACCTACTCTCAGCCTCAGTCCCATCTTTCAACCTCTTAAATATTCTCCATGACTTTCCCTTAGTTTTCTTTCTATATACAAACATATTAGCAAGCCTATGATAGATCACAGTTATTGCCTTCATGCAAATAAATTCCTGAAAACATATTGACTATGGTGCTGGTAAATGTTTAACAACCAGTTTTTCAGGGGAAACTGTCCTTACTTGTAGAATGTGCCACTTCCTGTGGTGTAAATACTCCAACCACAGTCAATTTCAAGCCACTAATACTAATTCATTAAATGCAAAATTAGAAAGAGATGCATAAAAGCATATGTTTTACAGTATTTCTACCATACAGATATAAGAAAATGTAGTAAAATTGAAAGTGATGAGTTTTGAATATTTGTTTTCTTTTAAATATTTTAAAATTTAAACTTATAGTTACCTTTTATGTGGTGCTGGGGATCTGACCCAGGGCCTCACACATGCTAGGCAAATCCTCTACCACTGAGGTATACCCTCAGTCTTATAAGTTACCTTTTAAAATGGCCATGCCTAACAACTGGCTCACACTTTTTAGCACCAACATAGTACTGTCCTGGCCCAACCTCTCCAGCGGGCTCTGATCCCACACTCTCTACCACCTGTTACAACTCAACCCAGAGTTCTTCCATATGAAACGACAAAGTTAACATACTGAAATCTAAAACACTTTCCTCTTTGAATCTCCTAGTACACACTTCTCTTCTCCTCTTGACTTCCTTATTTCTGTTAATGGTGCCTCCAATACTCATCTAATCAGTTGCTAAGTCTTGAAGGTTCTGCCCGTGCGATGTTCTTCTGATCTGCCTCTTCCTTTTCATTTCACTTAGGGTCATTGCCCTGGTCCAGATCAAGTGACAGGCCTCTTCCTCTTCAGTCTCTTCTCACTCCAATCTATCTGACAATACTGTTAGATTAATCCTCCAAATGCACAGTTCTGATGATAGAGCTCTTCTATTCAACTCTATCTCTAGCTGTATGTCTCATGTTCTCTCCCTCTCTCTCTCCCTCCCTCTCCTTCTGTCTCTTCCTCTTCCTTCCCATATGCTCTCCTTATTCCAGACAATTTGGACGGTTCCATGTTTTCCATGTTAGGAACATGCCCTGTGGCTTCAGACTATGTGCTTTTGCTCACATTTCCCCCTTCCTCTGTAATGTTCTTCCCTCTTTGTGGAAAGACCCATATCTTTATTATTTAAGACGCAGTTCAAATGAAAAGCTTTGGGTTTAACATATAAGTTGATGAGAATCTAAAGAGCAGAAATAAATAAGATCTGATAAATCCAGGAATCGTTTAAAGATAAAAGTTTATGTGGTCACCATCTCTTATAGAGGCTCCTTGAAACACATTGTGCCAAGACAAAACCTACCCCATTGTTATTATTGAAAGGTTTACTGGGAGTAAACATGAGGTTTATCCCAAATCTATGGATTTCAATTATACATGCTACAGCTGTTCCTCATTATCTGAAATGATCAAGAATTGTCTGTACTTCAACCATTTGGTGTTTACTGTAAGTATTCTTCATTTAATGCCCTGAGCCAAATTAGGCTGAGGGGGTAGGAAAGGTGGGCAGTAGAAACATGGAGCCCCTGAACCCTGGGCTGCTACTACCATTGGTGATACTCATTTGTCTTTGGGATGCTGGTTGAAGTTATGAAGGATCCTCATACCCTGGAATCTCAGCAGTCAGAAGCAAGGCAACTGGAATTCCTATCTTGTACACATCTTTCTTCCTTCAGGCCCTCCTAATGTTTAGAGTAAAATAAATGCTTCAAGTGCTTTCTTTTTGAGAGGGGAGAATCATAATGATGATCAGCCAGTGATTCCTTTTCCTTCAAGTTTTAGATCTGAGCTGAACTTCCGTAGGAAAGGAAGAAAGAACAGGGTGCCACAGCCCTCTGGTCACTGGCACCACCTTTCCTGTATTGCTGAATGCTTTTGAGTTGTAGAGAGCCTGACTCCTTAGCCCACAAGAAAAGAAAGGGAAGGAAGGAGAAGAAGGCTATGGAAGAAAACTCGCAAAGGGAAAAGTACATTAGAACAGTTGAGATTATCAACAAGTGATCCAGAGATTTCCTCCATGAATACCAATAGACTACTTTTTAAATATAGATTCTTGGGCCTCACCTCAGACCTACTGAGTTGCAGTCACTAAGGATACAGCCAGGGACTGGGCATTTTCATGAGTACACCCAGTGAAGCTGATGGACACTAAAGACTGAGGATCACTGTCTGAATGCCAGACAGCCTGCAGGCTGAGCACAGCCCTTTGAGTTAAAAGGGCTTCTTCATTACTATAGGTTGTGAAAGAGAAAGAGAAGGAGGGTGATGACAACAAGGACAAGAAACATGGCAGAACACACAACACAAGCACCAAAGCCTAAAACATTTACTATCTGGTCCTTTACAGAAAAGCTGTCTGACCCCTGTGTTGTGCATCCCACGTGAAAAGCAGTATCTGAAGTTAGTGCCATTCCAGCCCTGCTACAGCTAAAATAACTGATGTAGCAAACCTTTAAAGAAATTGAAAGTGATTAAATATGTAATATTGTCATCTAAAATGCATTTGTAATTACTATAAGTGGAGGGAGGAAAGGTATAAATATAGTTATAGCAAGCATGCTGCAATGTCTTCAAAAATATATTTTCATCCATACAAGAATTTTGATAACTCTGATTTTTCTTCCACAGTCTTATCAGATGACAATATATTACAGATTAGTTTAACAAAACCCATTGCATGTATATTTCTTTCTTTCAGTGTTTGTACTGTGTTTGAACTCAGGGTCTCTACCACTTGAGCCACGCCCTCTGCCCTAACATGTATATCCTTTGTTGGACTGTGTCCCCACACATATTTCCTCACCTATGAGGGAAAATGTACAACTATAAAGCCAAATGTCTGGGGATAACCATGAATGAATTCTCAAACAACCTACATGGAAATGATACACAAAGGGAATAAAGTAAATTGAATTTAGTACCTTTTTGAAGGAGTTTAAGAATCATGAAGTATGTCCACCTCTTAAGTATTTTAGGAAAGAGGCTATGAACTCACTTTAGGAAGGATTCATATGCATCGGGTTCCAGAGGCTCAGTTTCCGGGAATCACATCAGGTAGATTCATGTCACACCTAATTCCTTTGAGATCACGATGCCTTTGAGGATACTTTCTAGATGTTTGTCTTAAATATTTCTTAATTGTTTATTTTTGATGTGAAGAGAGAAGCTTCATTATAGAACCTAGAAATAAATGTTGGCTTTAAAAATATATTAGTATGAGAGTGACTTGCCTTTCAGAATTGAGGAACTCTCTCAGTAATTTTCTTTCATTGTTACTTTTTTTTTTCTCATAAAGAGAGGAGCTAAAACTTTAGGAACAACTAAGAGTTTTGATAAAGATTTAAACTATATAACAAATTTTAAGAAACAAAGTTTCAAACACCAGATAAAGTCTTGAAACCTAGCGTGCTTCACCATTTAATAAAATTATGACTCATTTTAGTAAGAACATGCTTTTTTAGTAAGAAAAATGCTTTCTGAGCTAAGTTTGAACTGCTGGGGCACTTGGGACACCCACAAACCCAGTCAGCAGAAGTCTCAAACTCCTAAAAGATTAAAGGAAAAATAAATTGGTGTGTAGAGAGAATGAAAAAAAAAATCCCCAATGGTACCAATCTACAAACGGAAGTAAAACTAAAACTCCCCTAAAATCCCCCAATCATCAATCCTTATAAATTCAGCACTTCTCTTTCCTTCTTCTGGAACCCCTAGTTAAATGAACACTAAGTCTTCTCTGACTTACTGTAGCTGGAAAAACAGCCCTCAAATTACACTAACTATGGACACCAACTCTGTAGTCAAAAACTGTTGAACTTTTAAAACCATGCCTGCAAGCGTGGGGTTTCCTGAGTCCTGCTAGGGGCGGGCGTTTGGAGCCCTGTAGATTTTCCTTTTTTGCAGGTGTGTGATCCAGGGCGCGCTCACTAAGCCGGCGGCAGAGGTGCGTGGTGGGCTCCACCTGGGCCGGGCGGGGTGGGTGGGGCCGGACGTGTGCCCGGGTGAGAGAAGGGCATGTGACAATTCGATGGTGGCGTGTGGCTGCAGGAGTGAAAGCTCGGCTGGGGGCGGGGGTGGGAAGGGGAGAGAGTAGAGCAACAGGCCTACTCCTATTTAGGTGTCCTTTGTCACCAACAAATTTAAAGAAGTTTTTAAAAATAACAATCAAAGACCTAGTCAATGACCCTTGGGAAAAAAGTATGCGCCCATACTCTATTCAATCTGCCACCATACTCCATTGAGTTCCCCTCCACAACTCAGCCCTGCCTAAAATCCAATCCCCAATGCGGGAGTTTCCTCCACACCCCCCACCCCCGCAACAGTGAGTCAGAGCGCGCCAAGCTCGGGTCCCCGTACCCGGGAGCATGCCGAGTGGGGCGACCTTGGTGCATCTGGCGACGTGCAGGGGAGGCAGCACTAGCGAGACTTGGCGCGGACCGGCGCCACCACGGCCCGGGAGCGGGGTTTGCGCAGGAAAGGGCGCCGCCGCGGCCCCCGGCCGCCCCTCCCCGGCCCGGCCCGGGCTCATCGCCCGCGCGCCACCGGGGCCTCACCGCGCGCCAGGCGCAGCGCAGCGGCGCGAGCGGCGAAGGGGAGCAGCGGCCCCGCCGGCCCGGCGGCCCCGCGGGTTGCAGCCAGGGCGACCGCGGAGGCGGCGGACAGGGCGCGTGCGCACTGCAGGGGCGCCAGATTTGGCGGGAGGGGGAGTGTCCAAAGCTCTTTGTTTGATGGCATCTCTGTTTACAGAGTTTACACTTTAATATCAACCTGTTTCCTCCTCCTCCTTCTCCTCCTCCTCCGTGACCTCCTCCTCCTCCTTTTTCTCCTGAGAAACTTCGCCCCGGCGGTGCGGAGCGCCGCTGCGCAGCCGGGGAGAGACGCAGGCAAGGCGGAGGGCAGAGGGAGGAGGCAGCCCGTGCGGTCCCGAGGCGATCTGCGGAGCCCCGCGCCCGCCGCGCCATGGCCCGGAGACCCCGGCACAGGTAACGGGAGCCTGGGCGGGCGGCCTAGGGCGGGGGCGCGCGGGGCGCCGGGGGCCTGGGAGCAGGTGGGAATTCATTCCCGGATCCTCTGCGGGGCTGTCAGCCCCAGCCTCGGCCGCAGAAGCCGCTCCAGAGACTGATGGATGGGAACGTGTCTGCGGAAAACGTCTCGGGACCTTGGGAAGCACGCCTCGCGGCTCATCTTGCAAGTTGCATGGGGACACATTTCTCTTTAGGGGGAAAAAACAAACCACGTTCCAGCCGGGGGCAGAGCAGTGCCCATCAGCCCCGGGGAGCCCACCAGGTGCCTGGCTGGATGTCGGCGAGGGAGTCGCAGCCTAATTGCTGGACGCATTGAGATATGTTTGGACTTGGAAGTGCAGAGCATATGGCAGGTATAGGAAAAACGCCGGATTGTTTATAGTAGCTGCAGGTAGTTCATTTAAATTTCATTCATTCTTTATGGAGGCCAGAAGAGTGTCAGCTGACAGGCGGCTGCAAAGAAGATCTTAGGGGAACGAAAAGGGTTTGCAAGTTGTTTTAAGCCCTGCTTCTGAAGATTGGAGTAATTACTCTCTGAGAGGCTTTTATTGCTACTGCAAATACTGCACGCGCCCGCGCCGCACATGTCACCGTACTTGGGAAGGGTCGCTGGGATGACGAGCTAAATCCCCTTACATTTTGGCCTCACGAATGGGAAGAGGAAACAGAAAAAGAGGGAAATACTCGTCGGAACTGTCAGTTGCTGGTTGTTCAACTTCCACCGGCCTCGGGATTTCCCGGACTGGACACGCCAGGGCTCCCTGCACGCGCCGGATACGGGGGCTGGCTCGGTGGCGGTCGCCCCTGGGCGCAAAGGGATGGAGGCCCGCAGTACCCAAGGCTGCTGCTGCGCCACCGGGACGCAATCCCCGCAGACTCTTCTCCGGGGCAAGAGGTCCCCGCACGGCGCGCACACGTGGGCGCGGCTGAGGTGGCCGCTGCTCCAGCTGCCTTAGGTCGCTGGCCTGGGGAAGGGCGACTGGATGGACCCTCGCAAAAGGGATCTGGGAAAAAAAATCCGTGGAAGCTAAACAGATCCACCCACTTTTCCTCGGGTTGTTGGATTTTCGCGAAACTTATTTGGTTTTTGAACCGGCAGCGGGCACCGGTCCCCGTGCGACTCTGGGAAGTGCCAAGAGCGTGGGCGTGGGCCCTGCAGCGCACCCTCAGGCCAGGCTCCGTGAGGAGGAGCCTAGGCTAGGTGGGCGTCGGAGAAAAGGGGAGCAATTTAGGGGGACCTTGGCTCCCCACGCCTTGCCCCGGAGGCTTGCGCTGCTGCGCGAGGCCGGCGTGCCTCCCCTTGAGAGGTTTCACCTTTTGCCTTTGGAACGCTACTGGGAAAGTGGGGGTGGGGGTGGGGAGGGTCACCTGTTTGGTTGAGAGCCTACACTGGCAGCAGCAGGAGGGAGCTGGGAAGGGGTGCTGGGAGGAGGCGCGGTCCGGACTCTGCGCCCCAAGGTCTCGGCTGCCCCGGCAGGGCGGGGCGGGGCCGCGCAGGTTCCCTGCGGCTCTCAGGTAGCTCAGAGGGGAGGCGGCGGGGAGGGGCGGGAGCCTTGAACCTGGCTTAGGGGAAGAGAAACCCGGCTGCGGCCTCAGAGCCGTTTCTTGCAAGGCGAGCGTCGACTCGGCAGGGATTATTAACCAGGTCAGCGAAATGAATAGGAACCCCTTTTCTAGAATCACAGTAGCGGCCACAAGGCACTTCCTCCCGCTCCCCTCCCTCTTCCCAGCCCCCAGCACCTCTTTTTCTTTTTCGTTTCTTTGCACGGTTTGTTTCCTTGACAGAATGTGATATTCATAGTTGTACTCTTGTAACCACACCGGGTCTAGCAGGTGGAGGAGTCGTGTGCATCAAGCCTGAAATCAGCCTTTGAAAGTCTTTTGACTGTTGGGTCTGAGATCTTGTCAGAGCAGATAAAGGAAAAGTTATTTCGGGTCCTTAGTAGAAATTAATCATGCTACTGAGACGACCAGATCACTTTAGAGCAAGGAAATAAGCATGCAAAACTCCAAGACGAGCACCTAAGCCAAGCCTGCTGTTAGCAGCCTGGACTCGCCCTGCTGCCCCATGACCCCTTCAGGACCTGCAGGAGTCACACGCCACTTTTCCCCCAAAATCTTGATTTTGCACATCTCCGCCTCTGGGCTTAATTTATTAAGAGGCACGGAGGACATGGGGCATCATTTAGCGCACTGGAAAGTACCTTAGAAATAGAACCCAAGCCCTTATTATAGGGGAGGAACCGAAGGAGAAGGAGGTGGGGCAGAGAGGGCCGAGAGGGGAGAGAAGGAAGAGAAGAGGGAGGAGAGGGAGTGATTTGTCCAAGTTAGGTTGCTAGGTGGAGGCAGAACTGGGCCCACTTGGCTTCCAGACCCTGTTCCTATTTGATTCCTGTCCTCTCTCACCTGATCTTGGCTGCCCCCTGTGGACGACTGAATATATGGCTTGTTCCTGAATTAAGCTGTTAGTAAGAAAGGCCTGGAAAATCGTCCTCAGTACTGAAAATGGTCTCTAGATCTGACCAAACCTAAAAGTTGAATTTGAGTTGAATCTATGACTCAGTTTTCAGATTCCTTTGGTTTTCTTGGTATCCCTGATACTTCACAAGGGTCTACTTCATTTGGGGGCTTTCCAAGGAGTTCTCTGAGAACCTTTCAAAAGATGCTGATTTACAGACCTAGGTTTATAGTAACTTTTTTTTTTTTTGCCATATCATGCTGTGTTTTATAGTAAAGAGACACTATTGTAATTATTTTGGTTAAAAGTTTCTTATTACCTACAGTTTGTATGAAACAAAGCTAAGCTTTTGTTTCAAAGATAGATACTAAATGGAAAAAAATGATTGCAAGTTATGGATATAGTTTAGTGGGGTTTTTTTTGTTGTGGTGGTGGTGGATTTTAAGTTTAGAAGACATCTGTTACCATGAAGCATGGACCATGAGTTTGTTGCCCAGAATAAAAGTTTTAAATTAGAAGAACCACAATTCAGGATTTTTGGTAAGCATTTTTGCTTGACTTGTAGTATATTACACTTGTGGGTTAATTTGGGAAGACAAAACCTGTTATGAATGTAAATTTCCTTTCTAAAAAAATTTGCATTATATTACTTTACATCATTTTTATTGGTCTGAGTTTGAAGGATTTGTCAATATGACAATGATAAACTTTAGTGAAGTTTCTAAGTATAATTTTTCATTATCTTAGGTTCAAAAAGGAAAATTATAAATAAGAATAAATTGCCTATAAATTATTCTTATCTATTCAATATATGATTAATAAACATTAAGATAGAGTTACTTCAAAAAAAGTCATCAAAATTCATAGTCGTATTCAATTAAGTAAAGAAAAAAGCTCTTTTGAAAATAGTAATGGCTTTTTTTTTTAAACACCATAGATTACTTCTGGGGGAATCCCTTGGTTTTTAATTAGGTATATCTTAAGATATTTTAAACACCATTTAGTCAGACAGAAAAAAACAAGAGTAAGTAGGATTCTGACTATCCAGTGGCCTAATTATTCACTTAGTTACTCTGGAGACTGAGTATTGTAAACATGGCCTCAAGTTAGGTCAACCAGGCCCAGAATTTTGAACAATTTGATACCTGTGTTAGTTGCAAAAACAGTTTTCAAATGACCAACACTTGATGGTCTTATCTGGCATCAGGTTTTAAAATCCTTTTCTCTTAGATTCTCCTAATTTAACTTTAAGATGATTATAATTTTGCTATTGGATGTATTTGTTCTTGATTTTAAAATTTTTAATAGAATACCAGCCCTATTAGAACATATTTGATTTGCTTATTGTGTTTGAGAGCTATCATTTAAACAATATGATGTATGCCAAAGATTTTGAGTGTGCACTTATTAAAGGACATGGGCTCTTGTTCCTTTTCTTGCTTAACATTAGATTTTAAACTTAAAGCTTCATTGGCTGGATAGTTGCCAAATGTGTAACTTGTCACTAGTCTAATAGTAACAGCAGGTTGAAACATGCAGAGCAATAGGAAAGTGCCAGGTCCTTTGCTGTATCTGTGGATACCAATAACAGCCAAACCAGTTTACAGTACTACAGCAACAGAGCACAGAAAACAATCTTGTGCAAGTTTCCAAAGTTTTATCTTTCTAACCTTTGAAAAGCTTATTGGAGAGTTTTAATGTAAGTTTTGTAATCCAAAAATAGTTTAAATCCTCTTGTTTTAGCCCATGTCTGCCTATTCTTATTTCTGCAGTATTTACAGTAGTGATGAGGATGATGAAGACATTGAGATGTGTGACCATGACTATGACGGGCTGCTTCCCAAGTCTGGAAAGCGTCACTTGGGGAAAACTAGGTGGACCAGGGAAGAGGTAACTAATCACTTTATCAAAACATGGAAAAAATGTAGAGGCTAGAAATTATGAAAACATTTTAGCCAAGCTACAGGTGGTCAACCCATGAGCCTGCTGTGTAGGATGCTGGTCCTCTTACCACCCCCGATATACTCACTCCACTACCCATTTCCAAACTATTTGTAGTTCTTTGAATTTCCTCTACCCCCTTTGTGCTTCATCTTTGTTTCCCTTTGCCTACTGAATTCTCATTTGTGAGCCCCACCACTTCTTATGCTTCTTCTTTACCTACGAAGTCATCACCTTTTCTAGGAAGCCATTCCTGGCTTCCTCTGATGGGGTTGGGTGCCCCCGCCTGTGCTCCCATGACACTAAGTACCTGTTTTGCCTTCTTGTTGCAGCAACATAATGTTCCCTTGGTAGACTGCAAGTCTTCTGAGGGTAAGGCTAAATGTCTCTCCATCTTTGTGTTTCCTGAGCCTGGAAGTACTTAATATTAATAAGTAGTTCCTGAATGAATGAATGGTATTTCCTAAAACAAAACACTCATAGAACTCATCTTGTTATAATGTATTAACTCAATATTTTTGAATATGATATTTCACAGAGTCTAGGTTTGCCCTGAAAGCATCCAGTAATGGGTGGAGATGTACCTCTTTTCCATATTTCTTTTTCTGCTAGTTTATCAAAAGCTTGATTTTTATAGGAATGGAAAATCCTTCAGAAGCAAAATTATCAATGTGTGAGGAAAAGTTTCTTTTTCTTTAGTTTCCTCAAAAGTTTTACAACTAATTTTAGGGATTTCATGTTAGAATAAATGGTATTAATTTCCCTTCATTTTCATTACACTCTGCTTCAGGTAAACCAGAGCCCCTGTGGATAAGCAGACAGGGTTCCCTGGGAGGCACATGGGAAATACATATTCCACCAATAGAGATTGTGGGATGATCCTTAGGGATACAGAAGTTCTGTCATTAACCCTGGTTTCCTAAGTCCTGCATTGTACCAGGGTCCTGCATTGTGTACAAATGTTACCTTTGCAGAAGCTTAAGAAGGAACACATTTAGAAAGACACTTGCAAACTGGTAGAATGGGGAACAGTATATGAAGTAATGGAACCAATTGTTCATTAGTGTTTAGAACCTTCTATGTTCTAATACATTGGGCCTGATGTAAATAAACTCTGAATAGAGTGATTAAAAAACTAAATGACTTATTACATTATACCTACCTTAAAGTTAAATATGAAAAGTTATCTTCTTTTTTTTTTGTAAGAAGAAGGTTAAACTAACTGGAAATACTCTATTTCTTATTCAAGGTCTTAGTCTTTCCTCTAAGTGGCTACTGAGTGTAATACTGGAATTAACCTTTTCCCCCATCAAGTAAAACTCTTAACAGTTACAATACATCAAACACTCACTGTGTGCCAGACATTATTGTAAATGTTTTTACATAATTACCTCATGTAATCCCCACATAATCCTGTTGATTTCAGCATTCCCATTTTATAGATGACCATAATAAGGTCTGGGAAGTTAAAATGTTACACCCAAGCAGAGTCAAGACAAAAACTGTGGTCTGATTCTGAATAAATTTATGCCCTAAACCAGTATATTAAATTAATATCTTCTGTATTTGGATACTTTTGAGAGATTATTTTTCTAGATTGGATCATGGGATCAGTTCCCTTGTTCATTATAAATTGAATAGAATTATTCAGTAAATGACTGATATCCTAGGATCACTTTTAAATGTCTTAGGATGAAAAACTAAAGAAGCTGGTGGAACAGAATGGAACAGATGACTGGAAAGTTATTGCCAATTGTCTCCCGGTAAGTTAGTGATTTTTTTCATTTTGTAACAAGAAAGCGCCCTCCCTCCCCAAACAAAGATTTAAATAGAAATATTTTAGTCAAAGTAATTAAGATGTTATATATTTGTTCACATGTAAGGAGTAGGAGGACTGATGCCCTGTATATAACTTAAATTTTATATTATAACATAGAAATGGCTTTCTAAATAGATTATTGATGTTTGTGCCACATTTTAAAAATAATTTCTTCTTGTTTAATCTTTTCATTTTTAGGATAATATAAATTTGCATTCTGATGCTTTGTTGCATGGTAAATAATTAAACTTGAAACTTTCTCCAAGTCAGCTTCTTCTAAATTCCCCATTTTCATCAACAGCCCTTATTTTTGCCACCTGGTTTCAAATTCTGTAGTGTGTTTTGACTTACCCACTTCCCATCCACTACATCCAAGCAGTTAGAAGGAACCTGGAAGTCCTCTCTACAAAGGCATTCTCATCTTTTTCATTTCTATGGTTGGGTCAGAGCTTAGGCCCTCTGCCCTGTTGACTGGGGTATTACAGTAGCTTCCTAACTAGCTTATCCACTTGTAGCTTTTCACTTTTCCATCTATCCCAAACACTATTAACAGGTGAAGCTTCCTAAAATGTAGCTGTACTTTATTTTTTCACAACCACAGGGGTGACTTGAGGTGTAGCTCAATGAAAGAATGCTTGCCTACTATGTACTAGGCTCTGAATTCAATCCCCAGCACCTCAAAAAACAAATAATCAAACACCAAAAAACACCTCTACAATGGTGACTTAGAATCCCACAAATTAAGCTGTCTTGACCAAGCACACAAAGGCCTCCCTATTTGGTCCCAACTTATAGCTCCCAGGGTATTTCCTACTTCCTTTCCTCAAGCAGGTTTGGTTGTTTTTCTCATTTCCCTCCTCTGGGCTTTTGTTCTTGGTGGTCTCACCTCCTAGAATATTCTCCTTTTGCTTCACCAGTTAAAAGTTCAGACCATCCTCCAAAGTTCCTATCAAGGGCTCCTTTGGATTCCTCCTAAGGAAGCAATTTCTCTTCCTAAGAGCATCCTTCTCTCTTTAACCCAACATTTGGTTTAGTCTCTTCTTGCATATGAATCAAATTCAGCCTCTTGTTATAGTTAATTATGAATTTGTGTTTTCTTCTTACAAGATCACAAGCTCCTATAAAGTATGACCTTGTATCATCGTCATTCCTTCTGCAATATAAATACTTGGTCCTGAATTGATGTACATCTCTTAGTTTAAATGCAAAGAAAACTTCAGTCTTTTCTGTGGATTTCCATAAAGGCCTCACAATATGGATTCTTAACAAGTCTTAGGCCATGTAGGTACTTCCACATGCAACACATGAGATTAAGGTTAAATTGAATTGACAGGCTTCATGTGTAGGACAGTTTCCCTCAAGAGAAAGAGCTAATTTTAGATGCAACTTTGAAATATTTTTTTCTATATTCTTTAGTCTATAAGTAGTAGGGGATACATGGGTTTTTCTATTCATGTCTTAAGATGTTCTTGGATGTTTTCCTGCATATTTTCTACATATGATTCATATTAAACAAAGTGTTGGTGGGTTTATCACATCCTATCTTTATGATGGTGCATGCTTTGTCTAGAATCGGACAGATGTGCAGTGCCAACACCGGTGGCAGAAAGTCCTAAACCCTGAGCTCATCAAGGGTCCTTGGACCAAAGAAGAAGATCAGAGAGTAAGTTCTGTCTTCACAGATGTGTGATTCGTAATTAACGATATTCCTGAAAGATCTTTGTTGGATGTTTTCCAACCTGAGGAAGCGGGTAAAGTTTATAAATGGAAAAAAGGACTCTGTTCTCTTATTTCCAATGAATGAAAGCAGATTTTTAGAAATTTTCTAAAGATTTTGTAACCGTGAAGCATGACTCATTCAGTAACATTAAAACACAGGTTATTTTTGTGTTTATCTGAAGGTGATAGAACTTGTACAGAAATACGGTCCGAAACGTTGGTCTGTTATTGCCAAGCACTTAAAAGGGAGGATTGGAAAACAATGTAGGGAGAGGTGGCATAACCACTTGAATCCAGAAGTTAAGAAAACCTCCTGGACAGAAGAGGAAGACAGAATTATTTACCAGGCACACAAGAGGCTGGGGAACAGATGGGCGGAAATCGCAAAGCTACTGCCTGGACGGTAATACTATGTCAAAAACCGTATTGGTTGGGAAGAACAAGGGAAGGGGTATTGAACATTCTGTCCTAAATGTGTGAATGAACTGCATCCCATCAATTGCGTTTCATGAGGTAAACAAGACCTATAGATTTTAGAGCTGGAAGAGATCTTAGAGTTTATTGAGGGCTTTTGATATCTACTCAATGGTGAGCCTTGGACCAAATCTTTTAACTTTCCTTGGCCTTCATTTCTCCATTTGTAAAATGCCTAGTCTGTTTCACAGAGCTAGTACTGTAATCAAGTAAAATGGATGTCAAAGTACTTTGTAAATTACAGAACTCTAAATACATAGAAGGAAACTGAGGACGGGCAGATTGTCTTAGGTCTGCATTCACTCAGCTCGTCTACTGACCAGCGAGCATTTGGCAGCTACTCAGCTGCTATTTTTGTAATACCTGTGCTTGCTTCATTCTTCCACTTGACTAACTTTTTTCTTTTTTTGAATAAGGAAAGAATGTAGCTTTAGAATTAATCATATTTCTTCCAGGTTTTTAAAGAATGGCAGTGGAATGCTTTCTTTTTAATGAGTAAGTCAAGAACATTATCTCATTATGAAGAATGACTATGGAAGCTCATATTTGTCCTACTCTCCTTACTTAAATAATAAATGGCTCATTTTGTTTATTTTGGAAAATACTTGTTACTTTAAGCTTAAAGTATAGGAAATATTAAATGTATTTTTATTCTTGCCTTCCTAATCCAAAAGTGGAGACAGGATCATTTCAAAGATGACTTAGGTAGGGTTTCCTTATCATGCTCCGAAGTATTTTCCTTATGGCTCAGCAAAAGTTTAGAAAATTCAAGTGTTTGGTCAAAGGAGGCCTTTTCTCCCATATGGTTTGAGAGGATATGCTGTTGATCTTCTAAAAATTAAAGGGGTGGGTGAACTTCCTCTTTCTTTAGCAGACATTCCCCCACCCCCATGGAAATAGTTAGGAGTCTTAAATTTTTTTTTTTGAGAAACATTTTGTAAGACTGGAAAAAGTTTAACTGCTTTGCAGTTTGAAAATATACTGGGGTTAACAATTTTCTCTTTGGCATCCCATCTTCTTATCTCACCTTTATCTGGCTAGAAGAACGATTGGAGTAGTTTTCAAAAGATGGGAGAATTTTTGGTGTGTTTTTTTTTGTTGTTTGTTTGTTTTGCTCAAAACTCACTAGTGATAAAAGAGATAAAGAGTGGACCTTGAGGCTGCATCATTTCGTCCTCAGACTTTGCCAAGTCCTCATTATGGTGTGTAGGCTCTACTAAGCTACACTCCAAGGAGAATTTTTTTTTTCACAATAGCTGGAACTTTTATGTTGTGTTATAGTCTTGTGCTGCACAAATGATCAGAAGCAACTTGAAGGGTTATTGTATTAAAAATACTCCTTTACCAAGGAAACAAAATGGTGAAGAGGTACCCAAATTTATAGAGAACTCCATACATTCCAGATCATGTAAGTAAGAGATATCTATGGATTTTAAATTAGGTAATAGGGAAAGAATGATCTTAGGACATGGAAAAGACAGAAACAATTAAAAAGTAATCCACGCTTAGTTGAACCAAAGGAAAGATTTCTGTTAGAAACAGTTTTCTGTCAATTAACTCTAATCTGAATTGAAATTTTTGTTTGTAAAATTTTTATGTGATGTATTTCTGTGCAGAACTGATAATGCTATCAAGAACCACTGGAATTCTACAATGAGGCGGAAGGTGGAACAGGAAGGTTATCTGCAGGAGTCTTCGAAAGTCAGTCAGCCAACAGTGGCCACCAGTTTTCAGAAGAACAATCACTTGATGGGTTTTGCTCATGCCCCACCTTCATCTCAACTCCCACCAACTGGCCAGCCCTCAGTTAACAATGACTATTCCTATTACCACATTTCTGAAACACAAAATGTAAGCAATTCCTGAGAATTTAGTTTAGTGAGAGAGATGGTTGTTTTGGCTCCAGATCATAAAATACTTTGCAGTTGTGTACTTTTCAGAGAGCTTTTATAAACATGATCACAACCTTCACCTATACCTTTTGAAGTAGATAGAGGTATATGGGGATATCTCTGATTTATGTATCTGAAAACTGGTATGGTAAGTGATCTGTCCAGGGATACACAGCTCATAGAAGTAGTGCTGAGTAGAATAAGAGCTGTTTGATTCTAACTTTCTGCTTCAAGCTGGTTCAAAGTTAGCTCTTGAATATAAATTTACTTCAAGTACTGCTGAAGAAGAACTGGAAAAGGGAGATACATTTATAGCCTGAATTTTTTTCTTCCAAAATGAAAAGTGAATGTGATATGACATTTAAGGATTTAAAGAGGAAATTGTTTGATACTGAAATACAACGGGTGATTGTAAATTCAATTCTGGTAGTGGAAATACCTTAATTTATTCATTCAGTAAATGTTTATCTTCTACTCTGAGTTGAGAGCAGAGCTTTGTGACATTGATTCTCTGATGTCCACTTTTATCCTTTTTTGGATTGATGTCATTCCTTCTTCATTTCTAGACACTTATATCTAGAGACAGACTTTATTTATAGTGGATAGAAAGAAAGAAGAGCGAAAATATCAGTAAATGACAATAATAACAAATGGTAAAACTTACTCAAGAATACTAAGCTCATATGCAAATGTTATGCAAAAACATATTCATAAGTGGTTTTTATTCTTTATTTGTTCTATAGATTTAACCACAGATTTTCCAGAAAAGTCTCAAGTGAATGAATTATCATAAGAGGTTTTGTGCTTTTTATTAAAACTCATAGTTATGCTTTAAAAAAAAAAGCATTACAAGTAACCAACTAGTGCCATCAGTTTTTCCCACCAACACTTCTTTCATACATTCATGAATGTATTTTAGGTTGTACTTTTCATTGTGTTTTCTCCCTAAAGGATGCTTCCTGTCTGAATTGATGAATACTTAGTTTCTTTCACTATGTCACTTTAGCTATTTAGATGTTTTTAAAGTCCTGGCTAAATTTCCAAATGGAGGAAGTTTTTAAAAAAATTGTTTTAGTGAATTTTATCAGTTAAGTACTTTTCTTCTCAGCCCAGAACAAAACCTCAGCAAGGCAAATCCCCTGAAGCATATGTAACCATGAATGACTGGGCCTTTGTTTTGCTTTTCAATCTAGGTCTCCAGCCATGGTCCATATCCTGTAGCGTTACATGTAAATATAGTCAATGTCCCTCAGCCAGCTGCTGCAGCCATTCAGGTAAGAAACTTGTTAGCTGCACAAGGTACTATGTTTAAGAAATGCTTTGTTTCTTCCATCTAAATGCATATTTTGATCTAATTAATTGAAATAAAAAGAAAAGCTAATAGTAGAGAGGAGGGTAGAGTTTAGGCCAGTAGTCTACCAATCTTGGCTGCTGGAGTGAGTTTACTCTGGAATTTTCTGATGTTACAAGTTGAAATAGCTCATCAACCAGCATCCACTCTGGCCTCAGATCTCCTATCACTCAAGTCCTAAATAACATTTAGAAGGATTTCTACAGTGGTGAAATTTGCCCAAGACTCTTTGATCTGTAGGTTTTCCCTCGAGATCCCAGGCTGCAGCCATTGTCTGTATAGCTTCTGATCAGATCTTCATCTTTCCCCTTTAACTTGTAATTCCAGAGACACTATAATGATGAGGACCCTGAGAAAGAAAAGCGAATAAAGGAATTAGAGTTGCTTCTAATGTCAACTGAGAATGAGCTGAAAGGACAGCAAGAATTACCAGTAAGAATGTCATTTATGTGCTGGGGCGGGGTGGCTGCCATGTACCCCAATACTCCCCTGCATCCTTTTCCTTCTCTTCTAAATGTTACACCAGTCAAGGCTCTATACATCCATTTTCAATGTTTAAACACAAGAAGTTGCTACTAATAAAATACTGTGGTCATCAGAATGTACATTAACTAAATTAATCTTTTTGTATTGTAATAGAACCATGATCTCCACCTGTGGTTGCCATTATTCATTTTTTATATCTACAGAGTGACCATAATCACAGATAAAATGAATGAAAATCTGCATTTTTTTATAAGGCTTTGTATCTATATGGTGCCTATTTGGGGTTTTTTTTTTTTTGGTTATTTTATTAACCCATATATATTTTATAATCTTAAACATGATTTGATGCATATTCCATATGTACATAAGATATGTACACAAAATATATTATATATATATAAAACATCTGCATAAATTACCTTAGCTGCTCTCTTTTGTTTGCATGCATGAAAGCTGTTTGGGCCATGACTGAATTCTGACATCTTTTTTAGTAATGGGGCAGCAAAAATCAGAGTGTACTTTGTAACATGTAGTTAACCAACAAAGTGAATAAAAGAGGAGAGATACCCAGCAGGTATTCTCAGGGGTACATTTCCTTTTTGTTAAATAATAAAATGATTATGTGCACACACTAGTTCCACCACGTTTCAACTTTAGGTAACATTTTGCAATTTCTCCTGTTTGTGTGGTCGTGCTGTAAGGAGACTTCTGTTAATTTGCTCTTCTGCTTTCCTGACCACGTGGATCCAGCAGCCCTTCACTGCAGCAGTGCAGTCTGTAGCCTTAGAAAGGGGTAGAAGCAACAGAATACATGCAGTTAAAAGCAACTCACTCTTGAATCCTCTAGCCTTTTGGTAGGTGAGAATGCAAAGTGGACAATTCTTTCCTAAAGCAGATATTGATAGACATTTTGCACACATATTCAAGTGGATTTTCAATTCACTCAATATGAGTTTTGTACTGTGTGGCACAGTCTCATGATCTAAAGCTTTAACAAAATGATAGCAATAAAGACAGTCCTATAGGTACAAATTAGAGTACTATTAAAAAGGGGGGACTTGCATTGACAAAAAGGAAACATCTTGACAACTGTCTCATGAGCATAGGTTTTGATGATGCAACCACTTTTATCTTTCCTCCAACAGCATCTGATACCTTGTGCAACACCATTGCTAAGCTCCTTCTTCCTTCTTCTCCATGCTCTTTCTTTGTTTCTGCACCCACCCCCTTCCTCAGACACAGAACCACACATGCAGCTACCCCGGGTGGCACAGCACTTCCATTGCTGACCACAGCAGACCTCCTGGAGACAGTGCACCTGTTTCCTGTTTGGGAGAACAGCACTCCACTCCATCTCTGCCAGTGGATCCCGGTTCCCTACCTGAAGAAAGTGCCTCGCCAGCAAGGTGCATGATCGTCCACCAGGGCACCATTCTGGATAACGTTAAGAACCTCTTAGAATTTGCAGAAACACTCCAATTTATAGATTCTGTAAGTAGAATTATTAAGGCAAGTTAATGTTGCCATTTTTCTATAGCAAATATGTTACTGGCGTAGATTCATATAAAGGTAAAGGTGTGATTTTAGTCTCAGTGAGTAGGCTTCTTTTTTGTTTGTCTACCCAAACAAAAGGCAGCTTTCCACGCTTTTCTTCAAAAGGCATAACTCCTTTAAAATAACAAAGATGATGAGTTTTAAAGCGGAGCTCAGTTTATGGCCATGGTGTTTCAGTTACTTTTAAATAATTTTTTTTTTCGCTTCTTTGTGCTTCTCTGCAATTTTGCTTTGCTTTTGGGTAGCACATTGAGAATTATATTTACTTAGAGCTTAAAGCAATCTGTCAGTGTATTTGAAGCAATAATCAGTTTGTGGGTGGGACATGGCTCTCTACAAAATACTGAACATTGATTAGGGGCCCCATTAGTTCACTGAGATAAATGGTCTTTAGTGAAACAAACCTGACCCCGTTAGCAGACACTCACTTCATTTCCTTGGTTTCCAGTTTGTTAAAAAGCATGTGTTGCACAGCCACTGGACAAGGGCTGGACTTTGGCCTGGTGTGCCATCTAGAAAGGCACTTTTGATTGCCAGAGCTGCCTGCTGCACATGTGCAAGGCCCATCTTGGGGCAGCTCATGGACCCCTGTCAGGCAGGGTGGCAGAACCACTGTTACCCCAGGCTAGAAGTCCAGCAAAGGGATTGAGTGTTTTCTTGCATTTTGCATCTCTTGCTCAGTGCTATGTTTGAGATGACGACGGTGCACATCGTGCACACTATTTCAAAGCTCTGTGCCTCCCACATTGTTTCAGGATTCTTCAGCATGGTGTGATCTCAGCAGTTTTGAAATCTTTGAAGAAGCAGCTTTTTCACCTAGCCAACATCACACAGGCAAAGCCCTCCAGCTTCAGCAAAGAGAGGGCCCCAGCCCAAGGGTGAACAAACACGTGCTGAGCGAGGGTTCCCTTGGTTCACCCCGGGCCTTACCAACTCCTGCAAGGCACAGCACAATTCCACTGGTCACCCTGCGAAAAAAGCGGGGCCAGGCCAGCTGCTTAGCCACTGGAGACTCTAGCTCCCTCCTATTTACTGACGTCAGCAGCTCAACTCCCAAGCGTTCCCCTGTCAAAAGCCTGCCCTTCTCTCCCTCGCAGGTAGAGCAAAATTTCTGCACAGCTGTTACTAATTTTCAGCAAACACCTGAGCCTTAATAATCTAGAAACTAATCCTTTGGAACAAATGACTAATTACTGCTGTCCTCGCTGATTTCCTTCCATGCTGAGTCGAGCTGGAGCTAAGTCCTGTTGCCTCCCAAGGCTCAGGCTGGCTGCAGGCCCACTGATGATTTTGTCACACTTCTCTCTCTTTTACTTTTGTGGTTTGGGAGGTAGTTGCATGAGATGTGCACTAGAAATTAACATTTCTGTTCCTTCCTCTTCTCCCACGTGATCCCTCCTGTTTAAAAATTTTAACATGTTTTCTGCCTCTTTGTCCATTATGTGAGTCACTGACCCCACCCCCCTCAGGGAGGAGGGAACTGAATTATGATTACATAACATTTGGGTTGCAATTAGAAAATGTAAAGATTCCAATCCATCTTTCAGTGCAGATGCTTAGGGAGAGGATAAGAAACAAATGCTTCAGGAAAATAATTTCAAATTTTTAATGTTGGTTCTTTGGAATTTTGCCATGGTATTTTTTTATCAGTGCAGTTTTTGCCAAAAAATGTCCTTATTTCATCTAGTGCTTTTAAGACCCGAAAATGATCATCCTTACCAGATACTTATATTCCTAAATTATTAAAATAATTGAAATTAATAGGTAATTTGGCACTTAAAAAAATTTTTCTCAGTTATGTCCATTGAAGTGGTGGGAATCAAAGTCAGGGCCTCTTGCATCATGCTAGGCAAGCTCTCCACCCCTGAGCTACATTCCTGGACAAGTTTGTTTTAGGAGGAGCTTTAAGTATAAACAAATGATGTTCCCACCAGAAATTATTTTTTTGTATCTTGCCTGTATTTTCTGCAGAATATTAGTTCTGCAAGACTTTGAGAGATGTTATAAAAAAAAAATTTTAAATACACAGATATGAAAGTTTGGGAAACTTTAATCAAACAAAGGTTTAAAATGATTCTTTACTGGAGTACCTCTCAGAGTTGTTTGCTGCTGTTGTTTTGGTTGTCTTTTTTTGTGTTTTGCTTCAGTTTGGTTTTGTTTCTGTATTACCCCTGGGCTCAAGCAGTCCCTGTGCTTCAAGCCTCTGAATAGTTGGGACTTCAGGTGTGAACTGCTATGACTGGCTTCCCCTCAGTTTTAGATTTTTTTTGGGGGGAGGATTAGTTTGGTTTGGAATTTTTGGTGGTACTAAGGATTGAACTCAGAGCCTCAAGCTTGCAGCAAGCACTCTACCACTATACCTCTTGAGCCAGACCCCTACTCCTTTTGCTTTTGGTTTATTTTCAGATAGGGTCTCGTGCTTTTGCCCAGGCTGGGCTCACTTCTTGATCCCGCTACCTCAGCCTCCCAGGTAGCTGGGATTCTGGGTATGCACTGCTATGCTCAGCCTCCTCAGAGTTTTTTAAATATGCTAATGTACGTTTTGAATTTCCAGCAGAAATTATGATGTTTCCCAAACTTACTTTACCTTGCAGTCATTTTAGAAATATTTGTTTCCTTCCCCTAGACCTTTAATATTCTGAGAGATACAAATAATTTGCCACATAATGCAAACTTTATATAATAACAGTAATGGTGTATAGATCATTAAAGAGAGAAAACAGAGTATGACAGAAAAATAATAACTTTCCCAAAAACCACTTTAATCTTTTTAATGTTAATAAAGAACTTGTCTCATTCTCTTTAATGACAAAGGTCATTTATTGAGAATATTTTCTTAAGATTTTGTAAATTTTTCAGCATTGAGCCTAGATTTTATTTCTTAGAAAACAAACTCCAAATTCTGAATGCTCATCTAAAGCAAAAGAACCCTCTCCAACACTACAGATGGTTAACATCTTTATTATTTTGTCTAGTGGGTCAGTAAAACATGCTTGCTTAGTATCTAGGTGTGTTTTTTAATTGGACTGAATAAAGAATAATTGCCTAAACTAAGTAATTTTTTCTTTCTGTCCATGTTTAGTTCTTAAACACTTCTAGTAACCATGAAAACTTAGACTTGGAAATGCCTTCTTTAACATCTACCCCTCTCAATGGTCACAAATTGACTGTTACAACACCATTTCATAGAGACCAGACTCTGAAAACGCAAAAGGAAAATACAATGTAAGTTCTTAGCTCAAGAAGAAAAATATTTATCTTATTTACTTATATTAACGAAAACATAGTCTCCAATGTCTCACCTGCTTGTATATTTATAATTGTACTAATTCACTTGTGTGTAGCATTGAATATGTGTGTTCTGAGCATGTTACAACTAACTAGAGGTAGGGTAGGAGGATAAACCAGATTACCTTTTGTAGTTCGCTCCAAAATTTCCTGTCTACATAGTGATACTCTTCATGTAACCTTTCCACCCAGATTCAATAATACCTTTTCTCCTCACTGAAAAGGTTTTCAAACTCCTCCATTCTGAGCTTCAAAATATGATTAAGTATGGTTATTAGTTCCTATTTTTAATGTTGTTTTTTTCTTTTTATAACTTATGCAGAGAAAAAGACCTCTATTCACACCCCCAGAAATATATAATTAAAAGCCAAGGAGTGATTGTCAGTTTTATTTGAATAAGTCTCCATCTAGTCAAAGAAATGGCAGAGAAAATAAGTATGAATCGTAAGAAACCTTTAAAAAATGAACACTTATTATTTCTCAGTACAAAAAATTTAAAAAGTCAACATGTTTTTTAGTGTGGGTCCCATTTTAGCGAGTAGATAAAGCTGATTTGTAAATGACATCAGATATCATAATGCTGTGGGTTTTATTCAGATGGAGGGGCATTACTTGTGTCTTCCAGAACCATTCAGAAAAGATGAAAAACATTTTGCTGCTCTTAGTTTGAGGGGGTATAATATTTAAAAATTTTTGTAGATATGTGATATGCATATTATGTTTTTCTTAATGAATATGTATGACTATTCAGCATATCCAGTTCCATATCAGTAACAGGCTTTAGTATATTTAGTGGGAAAATACCAAATTCTTCAGGTAAAGCAATGTAAGGAATGCATGTGGTTTTTTTGAGCCATTGTTTGTTCTCTTTTTAAAGTTTTAGAACTCCAGCTATCAAAAGGTCAATCTTAGAAAGCTCTCCGAGAACTCCTACACCTTTCAAACACGCACTTGCAGCTCAAGAAATTAAATATGGTCCCCTGAAGATGCTAGTAAGTTCTAGAAAAGTCCTTGGGTTTGGTTGGCATATTAACACAGATAGGAATTTTCCTCTGATGCAAAAGTATTCCACTCTTCCCTACAGCCTCAGACACCCTCTCATCTAGTGGAAGACCTACAGGATGTGATCAAACAAGAATCTGATGAATCTGGAATTGTTGCTGAATTTCCAGAGAGTGGACCACCCTTACTGAAGAAAATTAAGCAAGAGGTAAACTTAAGATCCTTTGGAAGGAACAAGCCATGAGTCCTGCTGCCTTTGCTCCTTGTGCAGCTTGATGTGCCTGACTGACATCAGTAACCATGTAACAGCACCACTTTTCATGCAGGGTTTTTGTGCAAGGTGCAGTCCAAAGGTTCTGCCAGACTGTAGGCCCTGACCTTTCATGTGGGAAGCCACACCACTTCCATTGACTTCATGTTTGGACAGAAAAGAGGCTAGAGAGGATAAAGGCGATGGCAGCACACTTTTACTGTTTCAAAATCACTGATTATAGATGATGGATGGATAAATAGGTAGATAGTTAGATGATAGATAAAGTTTCATTTTCTTTCTTTCTTTCTTTTTTTTAATGTAATAAGAAATCATTTATTCTGAGTCAAATAGAGTGACCATGGCCTGGGAACACAGATTCAAGTTACCTTGAATGACACATTCCCTTATTTTTCTGATACCGTAGAGAACTGGAATTTACATTAAAATAGTGCCCTTAATTCATGGAGAAAGAAGCTCTAACCTGGAAGGATGGAAGTGTTAGCTTCTTGTAAGAAACATTTCTGACAGGTTGGATATGTTACCTCTTGAATTTCTTTTCATGTAATGCTGAGTGTTTGAGAGACTGACCAGAAATGTACTCCTTGAGAGTAATGCTTCACGGAAGTTGTAAGTCTAGAAGTGACAAAGCACTTCCTTTTTGTCTTTAGGTAGAATCTCCAACTGATAAAGCGGGAAACTTCTTCTGCTCAAACCACTGGGAAGGGGACAGTCTGAACACTCAGCTGTTTGCACAGGCATCACCTGTGGCAGATGCCCCAGTGAGTACATACCCGGGACCCCCTCCAAGCTGCTGTGTGATGTTGGTGTCTCACCGGATCCTGTGTGTGGTGTGTGGGTTTGCTGTGGTTGGAGCAGTTACTCTTCAGTGCATATGATTTCCAAACATTCTTTCCTGCATGATTAAAAAAAAAAAAAAAACTATGAACATAGGATATAAAGTTGAGATTTTGCCTTATGTATTCAAAACAGATTCTGTTCTATTGCAGATGTTTTCATATGATTTGAGAAGTTCTTTTCACTTCTGTAGATATTTCCATGAAAACATAATGCTAATTTTTACGGTTTCTTTTTTTTGGTTTTCTAAAGATGGTATTTTCTTCTAGTTAAATTATCTGTTGTTTGGTTTTGTATAGCATCTAGCTTAGGGCCTGACATGTTGTATAGTACCTACCTGACGATGACAGGTGTCCTTCTGTCTTTGCAGAGGAATGCCAGATGTGCAGATGCTGTACTCCTTTATATAAAATGGCATAGTATTTGCATATAATCCTCCTTTAACATACTTTAAATCCTCCTAGACTACTTATAATGCCTAATACATTGTAAATGCTATGCATATAGTTGTTATATGGCATTGCTTAGGGAAAATGGCAAGCAAAGAAGTCTGTACATGTGCAGTACAGATGCAGTTTTTCTTTCTGAATATCTTTGCTTGGTGAGTTCTTGGAGGTAGAGGCCAACTATATTGCATTGCTTTAGTGACCACTATTTTACAGTTAGTAATTTGTGAGAAGTTGTCCTATGCCTTTGGAGAATCAGAGAAAAGTGGTCATTGCTAATATTTTATTCAGTATAAACAAAGAGGTGAGTACTAACCTAAGGACTTTAGATGAATGAATCATGTAGTCCTTACAATAACCCTGGAAGGTCAATAACATTTTCACTTCCGTTATTGCAACCGGGACACTGGGTGGCTTAGTCGGTTGCTGAAGATTATATAACTATTGGGCAGTGCTACTGGGTTAGAACTTTGAAAACGTGGCTTTAAATGGCATAGTACTTCTCACCATTGTACTGTGCAGCCGTTAATTCATAGCTCTAAAATGTTTCTATGCCAACATATAACATAAAGAGTTCCCATTAATATATCTTTTTAAAATTTTTGTTTTATCTTTTTAAACCTTAGCAGTTATTTATTGATTTATTTATTTGGCAGTACTGAAGTTTGAACTCAGGACCTTATGCTTGTTAGGCAAGATCTCTACCACCTAAGCCATGCTATTTTTCCAAGAGGATTTTGTATTTTGCCTGGGCAGGCCTCATCCCATGATCTTCCTACCTCCACCATTTAGCTGGGACACAGGCCCAGCTTGATGGTTGAGATGGGGGTGTTACTAACTTTTTGCCTAGGCTGGCCTCAAACCGTGATTCTCCCTTACAGGTGTGAGCCACCACACCTGGCATCTTTTATTTTAAAAGCATGGATTTATTCATTCCTTTAGCAGACAGATTTTGAGTGCCTACCACCATGCCTAGAACCAGGTGGGACCCCAAAGCTTTTTGGGCTTTGGTGATGCTTGCTACAATGGTATGAAGGTCAGTACATAGTTGGTTTCTCCTTTTAGCTCATAAGAAAGAGAATTTCTGGCAAATACATGCATTTCTTTATGCTAACAGGCATCATCTCATAGTAATCGACTCGCTACAGAGTTAGAATTGGGTTGGCTGTCATCTACCCAAGCTGATTTAAATTTCAAATGATTCCTTTCCCTTTAGAATATTCTCACAAGCTCTGTTTTAATGACACCAGTATCAGAAGACGAAGACAATGTTCTCAAAGCATCAGTACCTAAAAACAGGTCCCTGGTGAGTCCCTTGCAGGTAATTACTGTTTCAACATTTATGTCTTAAACTCACCCACTGAAAAACTGTTATCTTGTCATTGTTGGTTTTAACATTTTAGACACAGAGGAGTAATGCTTTTAACTTTCTGTTATAGATCAAACCCAGGGTCTGGTGTACACTAGGTAAGCACTCTGTCCCTGAGCTACATCTCCAGCCCTAAAAAACTTCTTATTGTCTAAAACACATTCTATAATTTGTCTTTTGGTGCTACTCATGGGAAACACACTGGAAAGTTTTATGAGAGTAGGTTCTCCACGCATGATGAAATGAAACACTTTTTGCTATGACTAAGATTATGTCTTACACTCTCGTCAGTATCTCTTGCTTTTAAACACCTTTTAAAAGTGTATTTATATCGTTAATTTTTTTCAAGATTTTTACTCTTTGTGCTCTGTCACTAAGCAATCAAAGTGCAGAGACTGCTTAGATTTTAAATGAAATTTGAAATTAATTAGAAAGAAATCACGATATATTTGACTATCTGAATAAAGAGGCAATGGTGGCTAACCTGTAGTGAACCATCTGCTGTCAGGTATTACTATCAAAGGAGATTTTCCCTGTAATCATAAGTAGGTATGTGTTGATGAAATATAACAAATTCCAAATTAGTCCTGAGCCAAAGGTAAATAATAATGCAAATTTGCTCCTCCTAATTATTTAAAGCAGTTCCCAATATTAAATAACCTAATTCCCAGGCAGCTGCAGAGCCTCCCCTCTGTGCTACTCAGAGGGAAATTTCATCACCCCTGGAGCAGGCGGAGAACCTGGGTTTAGAAGCAGGAAGCCATATCTGATGCTATGAGTTAAGAGGCACTGGAGTAGGAGATGGGCTTTGAGAGCAGAGCCAGCTTTTTTCCCCTTACAGGGCTTTCCTGCCATCGACATGTGCTTTCTCATTCCAAATGGTGAGAATCTTAAAACCTCCCTTTTTTAAGTATTTGTGATACTTTTAAGTGTTTGTGATTTCTTTTTAAAGTAATAAAATACAGCAGGAAGAGTGGTAGGCACATTTGTTTGTTAATTCAATCAGATCACTTCCTTGTGGCTTTCTCAGATACCAACTGCCTTGGTGAAAGATGGTGGTGGGCTGGAGTGTGGGAGAAGGGAAGGTCAGTCCTTGTGGACAATCAGAAGTGCCCAAGGCTGTCAGGCTTGAGTAGTCCCCACATGGAGAAGAATCAGAATATCACAAAGACTTGGGAGGTGAGGAAGAGAACATGCTCCACCCAGGCATTTGAGGGGCACAGAAAAGATTAGAAGGATGTCAAGGAAAGGACAGCGATTTCAAAATTTTACCTAGAGCTGATCCTGGGTCCCTAGGGGAAATCCTTGCTTTATCGTTCTTTGGCCCTTGGTTTCCAGGGCATAAAATTTTATTCATGCTAATAGTATTTTCAGCTAGATTGTTTTATGAATGTTTTGTAACCTAGCCTGGGACTCAACCTGTATTTACAGTAGCATAGAAAAAGTACATCCTGAATTTCAAAGAGTGAAAAATGTAAATATATTTGGGGAAAGTAGTTATTACATAAATTGAAAACACCTGATTATTTTTCTATTGTTGAATCCTAATATCTTTTGGGTTAACCAAATAGTATGTGGGCAAAACCATTCAAAGGTGCATATGGTGCTGATATGAAATATGTTATATAAAAGTTGATAATAATTTAATATTTATAAAAATAACTTGTCTGATTTTTTAACCACTGAATTTTCAGTGCTAATAATTAAAAAAATACTCAGTATAGAACTTTATCAGCATTTACATTTCAACTGAGTAGAAATGTTGGTTATCTTTGAAACTCAAAATTAAAAGATCACTCTATTTTGTTAACCTATACTTTCCGGTGTCCTGCGAGCCATGTTTGGCATGCCTCTGTATATCACATCATATCACATGGTGAAGCTGATATTTGCCAGTTCCACCAAGCTGAGTAATTTGAGACTTAAAACTAAATTTAGAATCAGTGTTTTCTACCTATATTGTACAGTTTACTGACTTCCACTGCTCAAATATGTTTTAATAACGCTGTAATAGAAGGGTAACTCTCGTAAAGAAATCCTTATTAAATGAATGAATGCTAACACCAAGCATCTCCTCATTGTGAGTCATGGAAACCTAACATCTGACAGCATAGAAACATGGGATTTCTAAACTGCGTTAAACTTCTGTGATACATTCTGGAAAATGTATGAAGTGATTATAAGTATTTGAGCATGTATTGTCTATATTTAATATAATCTCAGTTCAACAATATTTATACAATAGCCTCTTTCCATAGACCCCCAGTGGTGCCTCAAACTGGAGTACAGAGCCCTAGGTACTATGTTTTTTCCTATACAGACATACTTAAGATAAAGTTTAATTTATAAATTAAGCATAGTAAGAGATTAATAGCAACTACACTAGAACAAGGGTAACAATATACTGTAATAAAAGTTATTTAAAATTATGAATTGTTTATTTCTGTATTTTCCATGTAATATTTTCAGACCATGGTTGAGCCTGGTCTAAAAACTAAAACTGCAGAAAGCAAAACCAAGGATATAGGGGACCATGTCTATGTTTTTATGCAGTTTGGTAATTTTTTTGGAAGCACTGGGAGTTTGAGCACATGCTTTACAGCTGAGCTACACTCCCAATCCTAGTAATGGGGTTTGAACTCAGTACCCCACATTCTACTACTTGAGCCATGCCCCCCAGCTCCACTGTTTGGTAATTTTGCTTGCTTAAAAAATAATGCCATTTCTGGTATTTCCACTGGCAATCCAATTTTACTTAACGAGGCATATTTTTCACATGTTAAATCTATTATGCATTTATTAAATGACCTGGCCATTTAATTTAAGAGTACTTCATGTAGTCTATAACTTAATAAATACACATGCTTCTACATAAATATATACAAATCACATTTGATAGTTTAAAATTAGAAATACAGGGAGCTGAGATGTAGGTGTAGCTTGGTAACACAGCATATACAGCATGTGCAAGCACCCTGGGTTCCATCCCCAGCACCCCAAAAAATAAATAAATAAATAAATAAAAAAGAAAGAAAAGGAAAAAAAGAAATTCAAGAAGTGATGAGCTTTAAATTTTATTATGACAAATTTCAAGCCTCCATGGAAATACAGAATGTATACTATGTTTGAAACAATAATTAATAACATTTTGACATATTTATTTAATGATATATTTAAAAATAAATTTTAGACAATGCAACACTTTATTCTTATGTATTTCCATAGTATTATAAAACAATCCTCCTAATCTACAGCCTCTGGAGTAGTTGTGATGACAGGCACACACTACCACACCCATCTTATTCATTGAGATGAAGTCTTGCTAACTTTTTCCCCAGGCTAGCCTCAAACAGCATTTGGTTTTTAAGTCTCTCAACTCTCTTCTAATCACTAGACTAGTGCTAGTGATTCCAGCAGTTCCGGTAGAACTTCTGCAGTGATGGAAATGACTAAGACACTGATGTCCTGTTTGGGAACCATGAGTAACACGTGGCACTTGAGCACTTGTGATGTGCCTTGTGCCTGTCACTAAGGAATAGATTTTTAAATTTTATTTAAAGTGGTTTAAATTTAATAGCCACACTTTCATATTCTTTTCTTGGAATCAGCCATTTCCCCCAAGGTGCTTGTGTCCTGTTTGTGGGAAATGGTATGTAGAGACCAAAGTCAGAGTGCTAAGTGTCCCCATTGGTGTGTGGGTTGTCACTGAGACACAATGAGTGTTAACAACTCAGAACTTTCTACACATCCCCTAATCTATAAATAGAATAAATTTATTTAATTTAAATAAACAGAAGCTTACATCAAGGCTTTTATAAGCCATTATGCATAGTCATGTTATATTTGTTTCTTAAATAATTGATACTTAATCTTTTTTCCAAAACGAATTTGCTGCAGCTACATAAGCATAATTGTTGGATTTCTTTCTCTTTTTTTAAGTTGCTTTCATCTTAAATTGTAAAAGCAAACAAAGCACTCTTATAATAAAAATGTTCAGACAGTTTTGATATTTAGGTCTGTTCACTGGGCTCTGTACCACTGTAGTACTCAGCCTCTTCCCCAAATTGTGTTGGGGTAGAGGATGGAGTCTATAAGCTTCTAAAAAGCTTAAAAATGAAGAAGTAGTGAGAATATTCAGCTTAGAAAGCTTGAAGTTTGGGCCAAGAAAGACAGAGTCACTTTGGAATGCTACTGGATTCTGCCACTGACAAACTACTCTGAAAGAGATGGAGGCTGAGAAGACAGAGAGCTCGCCTCAGCCTGGGGATGAAAGTGCCTGTTTTCTTCAATATGCTTTCAATTTGCTTTACATGCTGAATTAAATTCATTACACAAATAAACATTTCTTAAGGTAGACATTTTTATTGGTAGATCCAAAACTGTACTGTAAGTTATAAGCCTTCTGAACTGTTTTTCTCTTAAATTAGAATTTCCTTTTGTTTTTCCTATTTAAAACTCAAGTATAAAAGATGTGTTTATATGCTTTTTACTCACTCACTTTCCTCTTTTTTGTAACCACAGAATGACAGCCTTAAATTTTAATTTCCTGACTTGGCTTGTCATGGTCTTACTTTTTTAAAAGAGTGATTATAAGTAAATTTCTCAAGTCATTATTACTTAAACACATCAACACAATATCAAAGAATTTAAAAATCTTATTACTAGCAATTGAAACTCTTTCTTGGCTTTTTGGTTCTGTGTGTTTTAGATTGCTCCTATCTTTATACAATTTATTTATGACATTTTATATTTTTCTAAAAATAAGGCAAATCCATTTTGCCTTATAGGCATTGCTGAGAAATGTAATAAACTTACCTACGGGCAGTAGAATCTGGGTTCTGGTGTGGACTCCACCCATTCCTATTTGCATTAAATGAATTAAATTGCTCGTCTATAAACTGGGACCATGGCATATCATCCACTCTTTACATAAGGGTGCTGTGAAGATCAGG